TGTTTGAAAAAGTCATTAAGATACTTCCCCCAAAAGAAACCAAGCCCCATTTATAAAATAAAAGAACCCCCCAAGAAAACCCTCTTCCCGGGAAAACTTCCCTTTACGAGGCAAAAGAAATGATCGAATATTTCATATCGCGACTGTATATATATAATCCGGTCATTGTCCCCGGGGACGATGACCGGATTATATATATAGACAGAGCGAATTCTTTACAAACAAACTTTATAATGCCACTGAAGGGGAAGATATATCCCCGGAAGAGGGTTTTCTTCGGGGGTCTATATTATTGAAAATGGGGCTTGGCTTTCTTTTTGGGGTAACTATCTTTATGATGTTTCATTACGGAATGAATAACATGTATAACACGAGGCAACGTCCCCGGGGACGAAGACCGGATTATATATAGAGAGACGATGCCCTTATGTGTGTAATTTTTAGGTAAGTAATAAAATTATAAAAAAAGTTTTTTTTTTTATTTTTTAATAATAACTTTACGGAATGAATAGCATGATTGATGACACATTTGTTTTTTTAAATAACCAAAGTGCATTCCCCTTGAAATGCCCCATGTAAGTCATACACGGTTGTATTGAGATTTTTATTTCCTTATATAGTAGTATAAATTGAATATACACATGTTACATGAGGAGAGGAATGCACGAGTTGTGCGTGCGTATCATAAAGTGTACTTGCAATAGTTAGCGAGCATGTCAAACAGAAATATTGAAATTTATAGTAAATGGTCAATAATTCAAGATATCATTGGACCAGCAAATCAATGGCCACATTCAATCAGGATATATTTCTGGACTCCCAAATTTAAATCATTTTCAGAGAATACTTATATCAGCATTTGTTTATGTAAATGGACTTAATCCTGAAATATTTATAGAATAGAATGGGTTTGGCACGTGACCGCGCCGCGTCAAATCATTTTGAAGCGCTATTCAGACTTTTTCATAGTGGACATTATAGTAGGTCTTTATATGCATTTAACATCACTAACAGACGATATGAGTATTTAAACGGGGAAATAAGGATATACCAGCATAGAAGCTTACAGAATTAGTAAGTTCAGGTATGATTTTTTTTATTTACGGAATATACAGATTATTAATGTAATACTTTGATCCAATCAAATCGCTTCACGGAAAATGCCGACATAACGTTACTCTTGACAACCAATATACGGCTGTCAAATTTAAAGCAAGCGCTCCAGTGATCCAGATCAACTTGAAAAGTGCATTGTCCCCCGGGGGACGAAGACCGGATATTGCCTTGGACTTTTCTATTTTTAGTAACAGATACCTTGACCAAATAGGGATCCAAATGCAATACCAACGGGTGTTTCCACATACAGTTGCTATATACCAAGTTTGATTACAAAACCTCATTCCAAACTCTAGTTATCGTCCGGAAACCATGATGTAGACCGGCCGACCTTACAAGCTGACTCCTATATATCCCCCTAAACTTGGTTTGTGGGGATATAATTATATACAAAAGTACATTTTTCCTTAAAAGCTCCTTATGTTAAACCCAGTATTGTTTTTATTATGTACAGCAGTTCATTAATCTGTCCATCTATTACAGGTAGATCTTAATAATGGAAATTTAGTAGCTCATTATGTTTCACCCAATATCTCTTTATTATGGACAGTTTTGCTCCTTATCTGTCTATGTAATGCATGTAGATCTTAATAATGGACATTAGTAGCTCATTATGTTTAACCCACTATCTCTTTATTATGGACAGTTTAGCTCCTTATCTGTCTATCTATTATATGTAGATCTTAATAATGGACATTAGTAGCTCATTATGTTTAACCCACTATCTCTTTATTATGGACAGTTTACCTCCTTATCTGTCTATCTATAACATGTAGATCTTAATAATGGACATTAGTAGCTCATTATGTTTAACCCACTATCTCTTTATTATGGACAGTTTACCTCCTTATCTGTCTATCTATAACATGTAGATCTTAGTAGCTCCTAATATTTATCCCAGTATCTTTTTATTATGGACAGTTTAGCTGTTGGTCACTTCAGATTATTGGTTTTGTCAGTTTTTAGCTTGACTATTCGATAAGAATAAGTAGAGCTATTGCAGTCACCCGAGTGTCGGCGTCGGTGTCGGCGTAACCACTTATGTTAAAGTTTTTGTAATAGTTCAAATATTTTCAAAGTCCATTGACATATGGCTTTGAAACTTTGCACACTTGTTCACCATCATGACCCCAACCTGTAGACAGGAGGAGGTAACGCTATCAAGCATTTTGACAGAATTATGCCCCTTTTTCGACTTAGAATTTATGTTACAGTTTTTGTAATAGTTCAAATATTTTCAAAGTCCACTGACATATGGCTTTGAAACTTTGCACACTTGTTCACCATCATGACCCAAACCTGTAGACAGGAGGAGGTAACTCTATCAAGCATTTTGACAGAATTATGCCCCTTTTTTGACTTAGAATTTATGTTAAAGTTTTTGTAATACCTTAAATATTTTCCAAGTCCATTGACATATGGCTTTGAAACTTTGCACACTTGTTCACCATCATGACCCCAAGTTGTAGACACGAGGAGGTAACTCTATCAAGCATTTTGACAGAATTATGCCCCTTTTCGACTTAGAATTTATGTTAAAGTTTTTGTAATACCTCAAATAAGTTCATTGACATATGGCTTTGAAACTTTGCACACTTGTTCACCATCATTACACCAACCTGTAAATAGGAGGAGGTAACTGTATCAAGCATTTTTTTTTTACTATCAAGCACTAAGAATAGTCGAGCGTTGCTGTCCTACCGACAGCTCTTGTTACTTTTAAAGTTTAGTGATTAGAAGTGTATTACATTGCATTGGAATAAACAAAAAGATGACAAATTATTTCAAAGAGGATGCGCGGTGTGAAAGAATCATGTTGTTAAACTAAATGTCAAGGTCTTAGTTATTTTAGAGTGATTGATATTCCTCATTATTCAATTTATCAGTATAGTGACAGTACATGTTCAAGGGTGTGATTCTTCCTTCTATCAGAGAATTTCCTTTTTTTAGAATAAGTCCATTCTGCTTAAAAAGGACTCTTGCTAAATGGGTAGGGTATGTTCCTCTTTTGAAATGCTTGTGCAATCACATCCCTGATGTTTGTGTTGTGCTTAACTTAATAATTGTTACAAAGTATTACAAAAAAAAAAATACCACACTTGCTTAAAGGTCAAGGCCACTGTGTGCAATTTCACTGTGGATACCAGCTTTATAAATGACTTATATTGTAAACTTTTACAGATTATTCATAGTTACCATATAAGTTTTCTTTGATTTATGAATAAAACCCTATTTAAATAAAGCAAGTAAATGATTTTGTCACTTCACCCCAGAGTGTGGACACATACTTCTAAAGAGCACTTTTTTCTTTGATAGAAGAGACTGGTTAGATTCATGACTGCCAAAACTGCAAATAATTGAGTATTGAGTATTAATTTTGCCTTGCAATATATTTAAAATTAAATATTTTAGTATGTTTTTGTCTTATTTTTAAACTAGCTCTTCATTATGGACATTTTAGCCCATAAATAGCATGTTTATTAAGTTTAGGTGTGGCTTTGAAAACTACCCCTTTATTATAGACATTTTAATCCATAAATAAAATGTTGGTACAAAATATTGCAGCACTTAATCTCGGACATTTTTTTTAGCCCCTAGTCCATTTAGCACATAAATCTTGAATGTTGGTCCGTCCGTCCGTCCGTTAGCAATTTGGTTTCCGGAGCATAACTTAAGTTCCATTTGGCCCACAATATTCAAACTTCATATGATGATTGTCCATATTGGGTAGAAGACCCCTATTGATTTTGGGGTCATAAGGTCAAAGGTCAAGGTCACTATGACCTTAAAACTGAAAACAGTTTCCGGAGCATAACTTAAGTTCCATTTGGCCCACAGTGTTCAAACTTCATAGGATGATTGTCCATATTTGGTAGAAGACCCCTATTGATTTTGGGGTCACAAGGTCAAAGGTCAAGGTCACTATGACCTTAAAACTGAAAACAGTTTCCGGAGCATAACTTAAGTTCCATTTGTCCTACAGTGTTCAAACTTCATAGGATGATTGTCCATATTTGGTAGGAGACCCCTTTAGATTTAGGGGTCACAGGTCAAAGGTCAAGGTCACTATGACCTTAAAACTGAAAACAGTTTCCGGAGAATAACTTAATTTCCATTTGGCACACAGTGTTCAAACTTCATAGGATGATTGACGATATTGGGTAGAAGACCCCTATTGATTTTGGGGTCACAAGGACAAAGGTCAAGGTCACTTTTACCTTAGAACCGAAAACAGTTTCCGGAGCATAACTTAAGTTCTATTTGGCCCACAGTGTTCAAACTTCATAGGATGATTGTCCATATTGGGTAGAAGACCCCTATTGATTTTGGGGTCACAAGGTCAAAGGTCAAGGTCACTATTACTTAGAAATTGAAAACAGTTTCTTGAGCATAACTTTAGTTCCATTTAGCCCACAATATTCAAACTTCATAGGATGATTGTCCATATTGGGTAGAAGACCCCTATTGATTTTGGGGTCACAAGGTCAAGGTCACTATTACCTTAAAACTGAAAACAGTTTTCGGAATATAACTTAAGTATCATTTGGCCTACTGTGTTTAAACTTCATAGTATGATTGTCCATATTGGGTAAAAGACCCCTAATGATTTTGGGGTCACAAGGTCAAAGGTCAAGGTCACTTTTACCTTAGAATTGAAAACAGTTTCTGGGACATAACTTAAAGTTCCATTTGGACCACAATATTGAAACTTCAAAGGAGGATTTTTATTTGAAGGAGGTAATACTTTATTTTAGTTCCATGTCTTACAAATGCTTCATCTTTACTAAAAAAAAAAACACTTTCGGGCATATAATGCTCCCCCTGGCGGTGCTCTTGTTATAACATAAACTGCTCATTTCATTTTGATAACTATATTTCAGACATCTATAAAAACAGAGATTACAACATATAAACAGTACTATAGTAATGAGAGATGGTTTGAGGAATGAGGTTGCCAAGCAGCAAAGAATTGAGAAAGAAATGCATTAAAAAATGTGAACAACAGAAAATGATCATTTCAAAATTGAACACTATGATTGATCAGGCAGAGGAACAGATGATAAAATTAAGAAATAGATATGAAAAAGCCATAACACATAGGAATGAGAGGTTTGTATGATTGTTTCTGGATGACTGTGATTACATTTGTAGCCTATCTCAATGGAGAGAACGTGTTTTAGATTTAAGTATCTACAGATTCAAAATCAAATTTAGTTTGTTCATGTACAGTCAATTTTATTTGTAAAGTATTATGTATATGAACATTTATAAACAAAATGTTTAAATAAATAAGAAGCACATAATTCTCTTCATTAAACTTCTTGAGGTAAATAATGACCACTAAAATTAAGTTTCTATAGCAACCAAACAGAGGTGATAAATGTTGCTTATTGCACAAATAACCCAAGATAAATGTGTTGCTCATGTTGCAATAGGTAAATTTATTATTGAACATGTGATATAATCAAATACTGATTTAGATAATAAAATGCATAACTGCATAGTGTATATTTCATAACTTTTTCATTTCTTTAATTAACTATTACTGTATTTATTTTATCACAGAGGTATTGAAAGAAAGAAAATTGATTGAAAGAAATGAGGTGTGCATTTTCTAGGAAAAAGTTAACATTCAAGGTAAAGCTTTTTGTATATTCATCTTAAAATACAAATGTACATACTTTGATTTTTGTTTAATCATTAAATGAATAGATCAATTTACATTTTGAATTACATACTACATGTTAAAATTATAAAATGACATCAGACAATTATGAATCTCATTCTGAAATGTCTTTTTCTGCAATAAAACTTATAAAATCAAATTGTGTATTTTGAATACTTGGTAAAGTAACAAATAATTAGTGCAGAAAAATGTCAAAATGCAGCAATTAACATTTCTCTTCTAATTAAGTAATGGCACATATTTTTTCAGAATTGAGGCTCTTTCTCATAGATTTATCAGTTTAATATCATCTTTTGTAGATCAAATGATCCGGAATGGTAACGTAGAGTTGCAAACTAGGGAAGAAGAGATCCGGTTTATACAGATGAACAAAGAGAAATGCTCTCCATGCTCAAACACCTAACAGAATCTTGAAGGAGAACTAGTCAATTTACAAATACAGGTAACTTATTAATCTTGAAGGAGAACTAGTCACTACAAATACAGGTAACTTATTAATCTTGAAGGAGAACTAGTCAATTTACAAATACAGGTAACTTATTAATCTTGAAGGAGAACTAGTCACTACAAATACAGGTAACTTATTAATCTTGAAGAAGAACTAGTCACTACAAATACAGGTAACTTATTAATCTTGAAGGAGAACTAGTCAATTTACAAATACAGGTAACTTATTAATCTTGAAGGAGAACTAGTCACTACAAATACAGGTAACTTATTAATCTTGAAGGAGAACTAGTCACTACAAATACAGGTAACTTATTAATCTTGAAGGAGAACTAGTCACTACAAATACAGGTAACTTATTAATCTTGAAGGAGAACTAGTCACTACAAATACAGGTAACTTATTAATCTTGAAGGAGAACTAGTCACTACAAATACAGGTAACTTATTAATCTTGAAGGAGAACTAGTCAATTTACAAATACAGGTAACTTATTAATCTTGAAGGAGAACTAGTCACTACAAATACAGGTAACTTATTAATCTTGAAGGAGAACTAGTCAATTTACAAATACAGGTAACTTATTAATCTTGAAGGAGAACTAGTCACTACAAATACAGGTAACTTATTAATCTTGAAGGAGAACTAGTCACTACAAATACAGGTAACTTATTAATCTTGAAGGAGAACTAGTCACTACAAATACAGGTAACTTATTAATCTTGAAGGAGAACTAGTCACTACAAATACAGGTAACTTATTAATCTTGAAGGAGAACTAGTCAATTTACAAATACAGGTAACTTATTAATCTTGAAGGAGAACTAGTCACTACAAATACAGGTAACTTATTAATCTTGAAGGAGAACTAGTCACTACAAATACAGGTAACTTATTAATCTTGAAGGAGAACTAGTCACTACAAATACAGGTAACTTATTAATCTTGAAGGAGAACTAGTCACTTTACAAATACAGGTAACTTATTTATTATCTACTACATAAACTTTTCTATCTCCAACGTTTCGAGGGGTTAAACCCCTCTTTATCAAGGAGTTACTGTTTATTTTTATATAAATCACATATTTATCTTCTTACATGTCTTATCTTTAACTATGTTATGCATACAGGAAATGACGTCATTGACGTCAACAATAAAAATTACGCAAAATATGATGATGATGTTTTCCGTCAAAATTGTTCCACTGCATAACGTTGCTCCCCTTATTTAATATTATTTATAATATTAACATAGCAAGAATTATGAAACTTATCTCATTGAAAATACATTAAAAATAATACTTATAATTATTATTATTAAAAAATTTTCTACTAAAACATTCCAATAATATTTACAATAGCAAATAATTTGATAATAATAAAAATAAAAATAGTAATAATCATAATAACAATGGTAATAATAATAACAATGGTAATAATAATAATGATAATAATAATAATAATTACAACAATAATAATAATGAAAATAATAATAACCATGATGATAATAATAATCATAGTAGGAAATAACCGTAACAATAATAATAAGGAAAAGAACAATGGTAATAATAATAACAATATCGGTAATAATAATAATGATAATTATAACAATAATAATCATGAAAATAATAATAATCATGATGATAATAATAATCATAGTAGGAAATAACCGTAATAATAATAATAATAACAATCATAATAATAGTCATAATAATCATAACAGCAAATAACCGTAAACTTAATAATAATAATAATAACAGCAATAATAATGATAAAAGGTATAATAATAATTATAATAGTAATAATAATAATAATAGTAATAATGACAAGCGACACGTGATAAGCAGTGTCTAACTAAAATTACCATGTTTTAGTAGTTAGAAAATATTATTGAAAAAAAAAATTAAAAAATAGATTGCAACAACGCAGTTTTACAAAATTACCGATGAATGCAATAATAACTGTCATAATATACTAACTATCAAAACAATAAAAATATTGCTAAATCCTTAAGTGCATATCACTATCAAATCATCTTATGAAAAATAATAACAATATCAACAACAATACCAGCAAAGTGATTATGACGGCAACAATGATAATGATAACTCTTATTTTGTTTTGATATTTAGTCCAATAGGTGACCATGTTTGTAATTTATTTATCCAAAATTCTTCACGGATCCGTCGGTAGATTGTACTTTTATTGTTATTAAATGATTCGATGATGTTGAATTTTATGTCATTTTCTGAAACGTTGGAGATAGAAAAGTTTGTGTAGTATATAATTATAAATTAACTTTTTCCAGATAGAACTTATTTATTACATTTGCAATGTATCTATGTCTGTTTCTGTTTCATGTGTTAATTTTGTTCACTAGATAGCAACATGAAGTTTTAACGATGAACAATGGTGGCCTAGTTAATTTCACCAAAAGTCAATATAAAGATCATTAGACAATAGTTTCACATGTTCATCAAATCCAATGAGGTTTTTAGGAAAAGGGGGAGATGCTGGGCGCTGGTAGGGAGGGGTAAAATATATGTGAAAGTCAATTTGGGGAAAATTATGACGTTATTTATACTATATACTAAACTACATTGTAGAGAGTCACAACTATATCTTTTTTCCCCTTAAAAACTTTATCATCATGCAAAATATTCTTTGCAGTATAACATCTTAATATGTATGGTAGTGAATGATTTTTTAGCTCACCTGTCACAAAGTGACATGGTGAGCTTTTGTGATGGCTTTTCGTCCGGCGTCCGGCCGTAAACTTTTACTTTAAACGACATCTCCTCATAAACAACTTAGCCAATTTCATCTAAACTTCACAGGAATATTCCTTTGGTAGTCAACTTTAAATTGTTCAAAGAATTTAATTCCAAGCAGAACTCTGGTTGCCATGGCAACCTTAAGAAAAAACTTAAAATATCTTCTTTTAGAAAACCGCAAGAGCTAGAGCTAAAATATTTGGCATGAAACATCACCTAGTCAGTGTCTACCAAGTTTGTTCAAATTAATGCCCTGGGGTCAAAATTGGCCCTGCCCTGGGGGTCATTGATTTTCCTTATTTGTATATAGTAAAAACTTTAAAAAAATCTCTTTTTAAAAACCCCAAATAGCTAGAGCTTAAATACTAAGCATAAAACATCTTCTAGTGCGTGTCTACCAAATTTGTTCAAATAAAAGCCCTGGGGTCAAAATTGGCCCAGCCCCGGGGGTCATTGTTTTTCCCTTTATGTATATAGTAAAAACTTAAAAAGTCTTCTTTGAAAAAACCCAAAGAGCTAGAGCTTAAATGTTTGGCATGAAACATTAACTAGGCAGTGTCTACCAAGTTTTTTCAAATAAAAGCCCTGGGGTTAAAATTGGCTAGACCCTGGGGGGTCATTGATTTTCCTTATTTTATATAGTAAAAACTTAAAATATTTTCTTTTAGAAAACCGCAAGAGCTAGAGCTTAAATATTTGGCATGAAACATCACCTAGTCAATGTCTACCAAGTTTGTTCAAATAGATGCCCTGGGGTGAAAATTGGCCCGCCCCGAGGCGTCATTGATATTCCTTATTTGTATATAGTAAAAACTTAAAAAAGCTTCTTTTAAAAAACCAAAAGAGCTAGAGTTTAGATACTAAGCATGAAATATTTTCTAGTTAGTGTCTACCAAGTTTGTTTAAATAAAAGCCCTGGGGTCAAATTGGCCCCTTCGGGGGGGTCATTGTTTTTTCCTATATGTATATTGTAAAAACTTTAAAAAATCTTCTTTTAAAACTCAAAAGAATTTGAGCTTAGCTATTTATCATGAAACATCTTCTTATGGCTGTCTAAATAAAAGTCCCTGGTTTAAAATTGGCATTGGCCCAGGGGCCTATATATAGGTGAGCGATTTCAGGGCCATCATGGCCCTCTTGTATACTTCTATTGTTGTATGAAATTTAATACAGTATACTATAGGTATAATAGTGTGACACACTTTGGCTCCATACGAGTCATTTTCATAATAAGAAATACAAAATATATTACTTTACTAAAAATAACCAAGAAAATGACAATATTTTGATAGCAACTGATTTCAAGAAATAGTACCATTCAGTACGGGATATAGCCAAGAAAAAAAGATAGCAGCATCCATGTTGAGACAGTACTTGCAGTTTCCTGCAATGTTTTTGGTTATTGTGCCCCCACTTTAGGGGGAGGGGCATTTAGATTTACCCTTGTCCGTCCATTCGTCCGTTCTCTTTTTGTGTCGCACGTAGCTTAAAAAGTAATTGACCTACAGTCAGGAAACCTTACAGGAATGTTGATCAGCATGTGTAGAGAAAAGGTTTATATTTGTTCCATTTCAGCAACAAGATGTACAGATCTATACAAATGTGAGACCAGCATGTTGCTGGTGTCGTGATGCCAACAACACAGGTTTAGACAAGTGTATTTGTGGGGCGGCATATATGGCATTGTATTCAAGGACAATAGCACATTGAAATATCGAACAGATAGATGGTGATTTTATGAAATGTCCATGTAAGTGTTTAGAAAAGTTTATGTGACATTTACTTTTGTTTATTTTTGGGCATTTTGATAAGCAATACACTTTTCTGATTACATAAAAGTATATAACTGGTCAAGTTCAATTATGTGGATTAGCCTGTCCATGAAAACCCACAAAATGAATGCCTCATTGATAATAATGACTTTGCAATACTTGAGTTTACAATTATCGTCTACTGTGAGCTATTGTACACACCCAGGCATTGGTGTCACACTTTGGTAAGTTTTTGCATGCAAGTTGGTATCTCCAAAACTACTAAAGGGAATAATTAAAACTTCACACAGTAACTTAAGAGCATAATTATCCAAGGCCCATAACTCTAACTTAGATATTTTGCCAGAATTATGGTCATTTTTTTAACCAATACTCTCAGAATTACTCTTGTTTATTTCTTGAAGGAAGTTTTTGTAACATCAAATATATAATGTTTGTCAGCAACA